AGGGAAAGGGGGGAGGAAGAGAGATGTGGAGAGGGGAGAGACACAGGGAAGGGGGGAGAGATGGCTTGGGGGGAGAGAGATGGGGAGAGGGGAGAGACACAGGGAAAGGGGGGAAGAGATGGGTTGGAGGGAGAGACAGGGAAAGGGGGGAGGGAGAGAGATGGGGAGGAGGAAGGGACACAGGGGATGGGGAGGAGGGAGAGACACAGGGAAAGGGGGTGAAAGAGGCAGAGGGAGAAGAGAGAGACTGGGAAGGAGAGGGGAGACATTGACACATACACACACTGCCCACACACACACACACCATACACATTCACACACTGCCCACACACACACACACACACACACACCATACACATTCACACACTGCCCCCACACACACAAACCATACACATTCACACAGTGCCCCCCACACACACACACCATACACATTCACACACTGCCCCCCACACCCACACACTGAACCTTTCACACACATTGCACCCCTCACACATTGCACCACTGCTCCTATACCCTACTACAGCCCCATATCCCAGCAGACTCCAGGTAAGTTGTCAAACTGTTCTTAAACGGTTTTACTACTTACTCTGGGAGGGGGTGCCGACACTCCTGGCACCATAACCACTACACAGAGGAGTAGTGGTTATTGTGCATGGAATATTTCTTTAAATAATCTACAAGTGCCCCTCCCGGGCTCAGGCTCTGGATCCGTCACTGGTATATGACATGTATATTAATGTGTATATTTGTTATATATATATATATATATATATATATATATATATATATATATTTACACATATTAATGTACATTTATATATGCATAATACACAGAGAAATTTCATTAATATGTACCATATGTAATGAGCAGATATTGGCCCAATCTTGTTGCTAGGTGCATACTCAAGCACAATAACATATTTAAAGTGAAGAGCACACCCACAGGACTTCAAAATAAACATTTTTTTACAGTTGTGCCCTACATACATTCACCATTTCAGTCCCATTAACAAGCTTTTCTTAATATGTCAAGGTAGTTGGACTGAAACATTGATTACATGCAAAGGCACGTCTGCTTAAAATAAATCTGCACTTTTGTTTATTTTGAAGCCTATGAGTGCGCTTTTTACGTTGAAGTACTTTTTAATTTTAAGTTATCTGTTCTAACTCTGTATCTGCACACTATGCTGGCGCGACGCATTATGGGGCTGGTAAATATTTTTCCAGGGCTGCTTTTAATTCCCAGTCCGGCCCTGGTGCCAGGTGCCAGTCCTAAAGGCAATTGGATATGCAGAAAATTAAATATTGTGGCTGCACTCATGGTTTAAATATGAATAATGTCCTTTATTAAAAAACATTGTATCTAGTAGGAAGAGATTGATGTTTCAGACCCTAACAGGGACTTTAATCAGGATCAAGGTTAAAAGGTGCAGCCACAATATTATATTATATATATATATATATATATATATATATATACACATGTATATATATACATACATACACACTGATCAGTCACAACATTATAACCACCATCCTAATTTTGTATAATGCCACCCCCTCCCCCCACCCCCCATGCTTCTAAACCAGCTCTGATGCATCAAGGCTTAATTTTTTCGGGCCATGCATTGCCTACTTTTGAGGTGAACTATGCACCCTCTTTTCTGTGGACTAATTTAAATTAAATACATTTTACTCACCTTGTTTCCAGTGCTGAGACACTGCTATTGCCGCCACCTGTTCTATCTCCTTATTTGTCAGCAAGTGTGTTGACAACTGCACTTTAGTGCAATCCAATACTTTTCATAGAGAAGCACTGTGGATGAGAAGCAAGTGTCATGCTCCTACAATTGAATTATCTTTGTGAGGAGCATCAGACGGGGTGACTGAGTTCTCATAGAGGAAGTACTTCTAGTGGCTGTCAGAAAAAGAGCAACTAGAGGTGTGTTTAACCCTGCAATGAAAACATTGTTGTATCTATTAAATTACAATAGTTTACATTGCAGGACTAGACTACAAGGCCACTGCACCCAGACAACCTTCGTAAGATTGAGATAAAATGAGTGCTTATAATGGTCCAGAATTAGAACATCAAATACAGTCATATACAAAAGAACATATCAATTTCATAAATATAGACTATTTCATAAATAATTGGTATGATTATTTTTATTTACATACTGATTACAATAAATGAATGTATGTTATTGTCATAATCTTTTAAAAATACTCTAGTTCTCAGAATAATTTACATTTTAATTTGATTTTGTATGTTTTTTTCTGTACAATTCTTAAAATATGGGTAATGTTCTTTATGTGTGACCTTCCCTATTAATCATCTGTTGCTTAGCTGATAACAGTATTTCAGATGCTTTTACTTTCATATCAATTAATTGACCATGAAAAGCAATGTCTGATGAGAAAGTACAGGTATAATTCATTGGTGACTTCATGCAGGAAAACAGATGCACTTTGAATCTTAGTGTAAATTGATTACTGTAACCTTTTACAAGCAGTAAAATCTTATACTGCACATTTCTGCAGAACACACCTTCTAACTTGGTTAAAATGTATTCTTAAAGTTAAGGTGCTAAATGGTAGAACTAGTCCAGTATTTATATATCTTTAGATTCTATTTTTCATATTATTTGGAAGATAACTTTATAGTT